TTTAGCCTCTGAAAGGATACACTGCACAGTAAGAAGCCATCCACAAAGTGGAAAAGCTGTTCAGCAGCCACTCTGACCAAAAGTGGCTATCTGAAACAGATGTGATGGCATACGCATTCAATCCCTGCATGAGGGAGGCAGAGACAGGCAGATCTCTGTGAGTTTGAGGCCAGCCTGGTCTACAGAGCGAGTTCCAGGACAGCCAGGGCTACACCGAGAAGCTGTGTCTTGAAAAAAGAAAAGTTGCTCTCTGAATAGTGGCTGTTTGAGAAGTCTGCACTGTAATTGCTTCTGCACCCATCATCTTTCACATGACATAATAAGCCCACATGGTAGACACCATACTTTTCTTGATAGCCCAGTGGCTGGTATACAGCAAGTGTGCATTAAGAATCTGCTGAACGAAAAATACGTTCCTGTGCTTTGAACTCTTCTTACATACCTTTTGCTTTCTTATTGCGTGTATAACCTTTTTATTCTGGTGTTGCATTCATGCTCCTTTTCCAGTTGAGCTGTAATTTACTTCTTTTCAGGACTTACTCCTCCCTCATCTTTGCACTTCTCACAGCATCTCCCCCAAAGATGTCTTGTGTTCATTAGTCAACTAAAAGAATGCTGTTACAAGAGAAAGATTATGTGAAAAGTTTATACAGGGATGTGATGTTAGCTTCATTAAATTAAGTGTTTTGAATGAAGAACAGGAGACTCAAAGTTGTATATGATTAATATGCAGGTGGTGGTTGTTTGTTTTTGGTTTTTAAAGGTCTTGTGTTTGAATTCCCTGATTGTAACTGTCCTGGATTAATCTGCCAGCACTTAACTGGGATTTTTCTCTAAGTATGTGCTAGAGTTCAGTTACTGCAGAAAAATGTTTTTTGTTTTTTTTTTCCTCAGCAGGTGCTGAATGGCACAGTTTGAAACTGATTGAAAATAGGAATCAATTCTTTCTTTAAGATCACATTTCATGAAGAAAAAGATTCCTTTAAAATGCAAACCAACTTAAAGAATTTCCTATTTTGAAGAACTATACTGATCCCAAAGCCAAGATTTTGTTCACAGTTATGGGAAGAGAAGGAGGGAGGGCTTGGAAGGGGGTTAATTCAGAAAGACAGCCTTGGGGGAGATGGGGGGTTGGGGGAGAGGGGTAATTCAAAAAGAGCCTTGATCAGCCTTAGGAAAGCAGAAGTGATGCTTCAAAAACAAAGTAATCAAATCTAAAAACTCAGGAAGGGCTTTCCCCAAAGGACTGTTCTGGCAGCATGTTGAAGAGGGGTTATAAAAGCAGTAAGTTCACAACCTGAACAATGAGTTAAGCAAACGTTAGGGAAGTATTTACTTTCTGAGCTAAGATGAGGCATACCTTTAGCCTTCCACTGCCAGCAGAACCTCTGCTGAGCCCAGCATGGCACAGAAACTATGGCTGTTATATGCACAAATCACCTATGTGGAGGGAAGGAAAAGGCTTAAATCTCAGTAGCTTAGGAAACAGCAGTTCTTCTTAGAACCTCAATACCCAAGGAGCAGAACTCTGCTTGATGACATTGTACTTTTCTTCAGTGTGGAGGAAAGAGTGGACCTGATTTGTAGATAAATAGGCTTCTTGTAGCTGCTGTCTTTTCTTTTTGGTACTCTGAAGTCTGTGGGAGCACCCTTACTACCAAAGCCTTTCCTGGAAGCACAGTGACCATAAAGCATCTTTTTTCAGGACTGCAGTGGAAGGGTGTGATATGTTGGGATAAACTTCATCTGAACATAGGAAAGTGACAGAAGGACTTTCTCATGGTCGATCAGTTCCTTTTGAGACCATGAGTTAGAGAAGCCTTAGGTGTGTGTGTGTTGGGGGGGGGGGTTGATGGGAGGGAGAAGGAAGAGAGAGGAAAGAGAGAATGATAACTGCAATAGTAGTAGCACTAACATTAAGGGTATTATTTTTGACAAAAATGATACTTTTGAAAATGGCATTGAGTGATTTTTTTTTTTAATTGTATCACTCATGGTCCTCCGATTTATTCTGGTCTCACAGTCTGTGTGGTGAGTGATGTATAGTGATGAGGTTGTAAGTGGCGTTCCATTGCTGCTCTATTATCCTTACAGTCCTCTAACACTGATGTGTGCACATGCAGAAGTCAAGCCCACAGATGTTTACTAACTGTCTTAGGGACATAGGTTTCCTCTAACTTCCAGAATTACCTGAGATCACGTTAAAAGTAACTGAATGATCAGACACGATGGATCAAGCCTGTAATCTGAGCATCGGAAGTAGAGGCAGGAGGATCATTGCAAGTTTGAGGCTAGTCTAGGTTACATAGTTAGAGGCTAGCCATAACTACACAGTGAAGTTCCCCTGAGGGGGTAGCAGCCTTACCAGGCCACAGAAGAAGACAATGCAGACACTCCTGATGAGACCTAACAGACAAGAATCAGAAGGAAGGAAAAGAAGACCTCCCCTATCAGTGGAATTGGGAAGGGGCATGCATGCAGAGGTTGGAGGAAGGGAGGGATTGGGACGGGAGGAGAGAGAGAAACACAGGGGGGATACAAAGTGAATAAAGTATAATTAGTAAAGAATAAAAAAAAATATTTTCTCATAAAAAAAAAAACAACAACACCTCAGTAGGCTTTATCAAGGAGGCTTCAATCAAGGAGGCATTTAGGTAGAAATAATGAGCTGTGAAACTTTAAAGAGCGGCTGTAAATTAGGTCATGTGCAAGAGTTAAAGTTCACTGTAAAATCCATGCCCCTGCCTTTTAATAAATAAATAGTTGAAGAAAGATTTGGCAAAAGGAAGAAACAATCCTCCATGTCCACATTTTCTCAGAAAGTGTCTCCTGTTAACAAGTCATGTGAATGTTTACTCTTCGTTCACCACTGCCATGTCTGTCCTTAGCCTTAGACTAGGAGAATTTAAATAAACCAGAAGGGTTTTCACACATCTGACCCCTTCTGCAAAAGCGTGTGCCGGCACATCTGCTCCCACTCCTTAAAGGGGGTCGCCAGAGAAAGGCTGTCAGTGATCTAGATAGGCTTAAATTTGTAAGCTTTCCGACTCTGAGGCTCAGATGAGCAGATCCTGAGACACTGACTCACAGGATTTGGTGCTTTTATATTACTGTGCTGTTTTATCCATGGTGAACATGACCTTTCTTGTGTAGATGACTGTGCACATAAACTTCTCATTCCTAAAGTTACTATAGCCAGTCATCCTGTTTTGTTGTATTCCATAGTCAGAGAGTCTATCTCCAGCCCTGGCCAAGCTGGAACACGGGGCAGGATCTTCAGAGGTTCCTGATTACCTTGCCCAGCACGATGCCTAGTACAGGGGAAGGGGTTTAGTACACTTTTGTTGAGTTTTAAAATTAGGCAAACGAGTGAATAAATGAAGGAAGGAACAAATGATATAGCTAGAATATACTTGGGTGTCAGTTTTTATTAAATATGATTGCACATATGGAAATTTCATTATATTAAAGTAGTCCTTTGTTTTAAGGGACATTATAGAATGCTTTCTTCTAGAAAGTAGAATTTTACAACATTGAATATGTTTGATTTTAAGGAGGATAACCTATGTTACCAGATAAGTTACATGGAAGAGTGAGAGCAAATTAGGAAGATGCCTAGGTTTTAGAGGGGAGTTAGCTATAGCGGAAGGGTACACAGACATTGTTAAACTTACTCATTTTATTTATCTTGCTTATTGTCCATTTCTCCTACTAGAATGTAAGGGTAAAAGTTATATCTGTGTTCCTGTATTTTTGTGATAGCAATTGCCCCATGTCTAGCTCTTAGGATGGTATCTAGTATATAATGAATATTGAAAAAAATAATTGTTTCACAAGTAAATAATTTTGTTATATATTTTTAAATTGTCCCCCAAAAGAACTCACTGTTCCTATTTCCACCGATCAATATGCAGTGATTTGTGTCTATGTCCTTGCCAGTACTGGGATTTATGGACTTCTTAAAAGCTTTCTAAATGTACTGTACTCGCTCTAGCTTAAAACAACAACAACAATAGCAATCAGAGAAACAACTTTTTCCTCAGGTGACATCTGTCAGAGCCATTTGTCAGTCTGTAGCCATTTTCTCCTGGATTTTCTGCCACATGGCAACATTTGGGAAGTCTTTATCTTTTCTCCCACTGTTGCCTGCTTTGTACATTTCCTCCCTTGAAATGAGTTCACCTTTCTCTGCTGAATCACTCAACTCTTGACCCGCCATCTACACTGAACCTTTCTGATGATAACAACTTGCCTTGCTTTGCTGCTCATCTGGTTTAAGGTAGAGAGAGCTTTCTCCTGGATTTTACCCCATTTGTTGCTCCTCTCTTTGCATTCTATTGCTCCTTCACTGTTCAATCTCTAACGGTTCTTGTTCTCTAAGCATATTTTCTAACATCTGAAATCTACATTTCCAGCTCTGACTGCTCCCTATGACTCATTTAAGCAACTTTGGACCTCATCGTAGCAGCTGGGTGTCCAGTAGATACCTTGAATGTTTCTGAGGCACATGGAACCACTTACTCTCCCAGCCTTCAATTTGTAGCTCCCTCTCTGGATTTTTCTACTTTAGTAAACAGGCATTCTTTACTCTTTTTACACCTAAACCCATGAGTTACCCTTGACATGTCTCTACATCTCACTCTTCATCTCCCAGCCTCTGTATTTTCTTTGGTTCTGCCTTCAGACGGTGTCCCAAACACAGTTGCATTTCATTGTCACCCACCATGCCCTCATCTGTCTCCCAAGGATTCAGTGTCTCCTGATGGCTCATCCTCTTCCATTCTTATGTCAGTGTGTTCTCCATCAGCTCTGAGTAGTTTTCCACTAAAAACTGTCCTCATCCCCTGGAAGAAGGAATAAAGCTGCTAACCCTGGTGTAGTGTCTATCGTGTGTGGATTGAGAAGATAGGGATCACGAGGAGCCTAAGATAAGGTGTTCAGTTTAAAGATGTCAGTGGTTCTTATGCTTTAAATTTTCTTTCTTTCTAAATGTTTTCTAGTGAGCTGAGGCCTAGGCTTTCTCTGGAAGTTTTCCCTGCCTACTTCTGTAGTTGGGCGCTATGCATCCAGACCTCGGAGCCTTATGGACACTGCTGTATGTTCTTGTGATTCTGTGTCCTTCTGTGAGTTCAGGTAAGAGGAGTATGATGAGGTTTGGGCTGAAGCCTTTCTTCGTCTTAACCTTTTTGCTTTCTATTTAGGTGAAGATGGACATATGTGTGTATGTATGTATAACAACGTGTATTTATTGTGTAGCATTTATTACCTGTGAAAAACACTGTAGGGGCCTGGCATAGTGGCACACCTTTAATCCCAGCACTTGGGAGGCAGAGGCTGGAAGATCTCTGAGTTTGAGACCTATAAGATGGACCTAGGAATTTTTTATAAGCATTAAGAACTACTGCATATAGACATAAGCGACTGCCTTGGTTATAGATGCAGATGAAATGTATTTAATATACCTTTTTTTCTGCTTTCTCCCCCTTCCTCCTTCTCTCTTTGAACGTGGCAATGTGCCCTTGTAGACTTGGCACCGTATTTTATCTCCGAGCCACTCTCTGCTGTCCAGAAGCTTGGTAGACCCGTGGTCCTACATTGTTCTGCTAAACCTGTTACTGCCCGCATCTCATGGTTGCATAATGGAAAACGATTGGACAGAAACACAGAACAGATTAAGATTCATCGAGGGACTTTGACTATTCTGTCTCTTAACCCTTCCCTTTCTGGTTGCTACCAGTGCGTTGCCAATAACAGCGTGGGCGCCATTGTGAGTGGCCCTGCAGCGGTGTCAACCGCAGGTGAGTTTACGTAGAATCTTGTTAGCTGATGTTTTTCTCAAAATCTGTGGGCTTTCTATTCCTTCCTGTTTATTTCAGTAGTGGGAAGAACTTGGGCACTGCTATGAGAGGAGTCTGAGGAGTTCTTATCTTAACCTTGCTTTGGCTGCAGATAGCTGGGGAAAGATACAGAAACCTCTGGGGCCAGCCTGATCTTCTAGCTTAATCTCTAGTAATAGTGTGGAAATTATTCCCCCACCCCAAATAGCACAGGACAGTTTTCTAATGTGAATTCTGGGCAATATCTTTGTGAATCTTCTAAAGTCGTTAATATCGGTACAGACAAAGAAAAATGTTGGCTTTTGACACTCATTTATTTTATATACTCCTTTATCTTTCTTTCACATCTAATTGTTTTATTTCCCTCAATTACCAGGGGATTTTAATTTATGTAATTTAAACCAGGCTAAAGAAGCAGGCGGGAAAACTGAGTGTAAAGAAAGGAATGTGAAGAATTGAACTTATGGAAAATCTGGAATGTGTGGTTTCTCTTAGTGAGTTTGAGCCATCTGCCTTTCAAATGGCGATGGCTTCCAGTAATGGAAAACGGCTTTGTGAGGGCACCCCTATTTACAGAACAAATCTGGATTCCCCTGGAGTTGTGAGTTTGTCATAACTGAGAAGAGTAAATGTTTTTGTAGAGCTGTGACCCATGCACAGCTCCAAGACACACACTGGAGGGTTGATTTCCTGGAGGCAGGCAGCTGGTGTCCTTGGGTGGTGGGGTAATAAAGAGCCTGCTCAGCCCTCAGTGAACTGCTTGAACTGAGACAGTCCCAAGTCGGTGCGTCCAGGCTCAGTGCGCTGCTGTGTTTTATACTGCCCTGGGTTCATTCCCAGAAGCCGTTTTATCGTGGGGAAAGTGAGTTTTGAGGAAGATCCCTCCGGATGGGAAAGAGTTTATCTTGACAGAATGGAAGTAATTATGCTTTGCAGTTTTCTTTGGTGTTTTTGGAGCAGTTTGTTTCCCTTACAGTTCCTGAAGGCAGCGACTCACTTAGCTGTCAGTCTTCAGCCACACACCTCTGCTTCAGCACCTTTCTCAAATGAAAAAAGGCTTACTGCTGGCTGTGGTGTTACACACCTGTAATTCTAGCAGCTGGGAGGCTGGGGCAGGGGGATCACAAGTTCAAGGCCAGCTTGAGCTACATAATGTTACGTAGTGAAACCTGTCAAAAAAACAAACAGAAACAAAACAAAAAGATCCTGCCATCTTCAGGACAGGGATTAGCTGCCACGAAAGGCCATTCTGCATGTTTCCAAGTTTTACTTTTCCTTTGAGTTGTTTTGCATTCACTTGTTTACTTGTTTATTCCAGCTCTGGGTGATTTCGATTCATCAACTATGCCTGTTATTACTGCAGAAGAGAGAAACACGGGTTTCATTGGCTGCAGGGTACCAGAGAGTAACCCCAAAGCTGAGGTGCGCTATAAGATCCGGGGGAAGTGGCTGAACTATTCCACAGGTGAGTCCTGCCTGGGATATGCTCTCAGAGGGCAGGTGGAGGACACTGAGACAGGAGAGTTTCCTTAGACAACTGACTCCAAGAGCTTGCTCCTCAGTCCCCCAGTGACATACTTAAATACCACTGATGGCCCACAGGGACATGGATAAATAAGATGATCTGTCATTTTCTTGCCTGTTACTTGGTAGACTGTATCACCCCTGGTGTGTGCCATATATATTTTTGTTTGTTAGGCACCCCTTTATCTGTCCCCACCCGTACTCTACACTGGAACGTTGGGTGCATTGATGTGGGGCCTTTGCTTTCTGCATCGCCATGCCATGTGTGCCCAGGCCATGAGAGGCAGAGAATAGCTACTCCATGTATATGTGCTGAGAAACATGGTGAGCAGCAAGTGACTGAACACGACAGCGGCTCTAGGTTCAGCTTCGTCCAGATGGTTCTGTGCTTAGTGTGTCTTTGTCCAATTAAGGCTTCTGTGCTTTCTGACTCTGACTGTCTGCTCAAGGGTTTCTAATGGGGTTTTGGTATATGAGCTCGATTGGGTGTGTCTTTCCTTTCTCTTCATTGGCTGCACATTTGCTGCTAGTTTTATATGTAAATCTCAAGTCTCTGCTAGTGCTAGTTGAGTCATGGGAGTCTGCAGGAAGGGAGAGCCTGAAACTCTGTAGGTGAGGCTGACTTTGACCTTCTGACCCTCCTTCCTCTACCTCCCACATGCTGCTGGGGCTGAATCCAGGGCTCTGTGCTAGGGAAGGAGTCTGCCAACTGAGCTGCATCCCCAGGCCCTGACTACATCCCTCTACCTTCCCCAGGAAACTACATAATCCTTCCTTCAGGAAATCTTCAGATTTTGAATGTATCCTCAAAGGATAAGGGCTCATACAAATGTGCTGCTTATAACCCTGTCACGAGTGAACTGAAAGTTGAACCCACTGGCCGGAAGCTCCTTGTGAGTCGTAAGTATTTGGGAGGATGATGGTGGCTAGGGAAGGGGGAGTCCTCACAAGAATGGCTTATGAAGCCTTGGTAAAGGAGAGTTCAATCCTGGTTTTATTTTTTTTTGTTTTAATGTTATTTTTATTATTTTGTGTATATGGGTATTTGCCTGCATTTATGTCTGTGCATATCCCCTGGAGGTGGAAATGCAGATGGTTGTTCATGTGAGTGCTAGGAATAGTCTGAATCTTCCTCTGGAAAAGCAGACAGAACCCTTAACCACTGTGTCATTTCTCTGTTTATCAATATGTTACAGGGTAGTACTGTACCTGTTTTTTTTT